GGTGAAATACTGCAACAATAAAATTGAGCAAAAGGTTTCTCGAATGTTAAAAGGTTGCTTAAATCCGCGAGCTTGCCGTTTCCGTCTTTTAATAGCATCAGCTTAGTGTCAGCTAATTCATTTTAATAAGTTTTATTATTATTCTGGCCGAATAACTAAGAGTCGTTATGTTACAAATGCAATTGCATCAAAACAAACATATAATATTGATCTTAATAATATACCTGCATGCCTCACCAGTTTAGACAGCGAATTTTGCTATATATGTGCCGAATATAATACAACGATTGAAAGCGGCAGTAGATCGGGTCTAATTGCCTAAATCAATTAATTCTCGCAAGGTTTGAATAACTACGTGCGACACGGCACAAATTTCGCTAAATCATGTCACATTGTCCAGGAAAGACTCTACATCAGTTTAAACGACGCGCTTTTCATGCACCGAAGTTAATGCATTTTAACAGTTTCACGCAACTCGTCGTAATACATTACCAGCAACGAAATAACATATGACATTTCCAACATAGTGCATGTATATATATTTATATATATATATATATATATATATATATATATATATATATATATATATATATATATATATATATATATATATATATATATATATATATATATATGTATTTCTTGTACGACATTTGTAGAAAGTCCAGCACTGAATTTGCAACAACGCGGGTATAGCCAGAGTAATAACAACTTGCATGTTAATTGCCAGACGGCAAATGAGCCGGTATTAATTACTCAACTTAGTTTGATGGGAATCGGAATATTAATACCTGACTGGCACCATAAACCTATAATTATAATATTAACAATTTCGTGTTGTATAATGTGCACAGATGGACTTCATCAGGTCGTTTAAAACAGCAGAGTTCTTTATAGAGAAGAGTTTTTTAAACGCTGCCCTATGCATGCATGCACTGGCTTCCAAAACTAGCGTATGAGAAAATTAGAAAAATATATAGGGAGAGTTTATAATTATTTGATTAAATAATAACTAGGTATGCATATATAGTTGAGTAAAATTAATGGAGTAGCATGCATGTGATATACTGTCAGATATAGTATCACATTGTAATGGTTTTATCCGAACGGCAATGACCCAAACTGTTCTCGAAGACCATGGCCGCGTGCGAGGCACTCTCCGTTTCAATTAAATTTACACACAACACTATTCGCCGATTATTTTCTTATGCGCCACTACGATTGTTACTTTGGTTCACAGCTGGTATTCTCCTGTCACCAACCGAAACCGATATTGTTTCACTTTCAGTGTCAAAAAATGTTACAGCCAGCTACTGGCTATTTATTAGCTTGATCTGATCCACTTATCTGCATAGGGATAACCCTGGTCTCTGAAGCCTTTTAATTTAACTGCTAGCTTTATTGAACTATTTCACAAAATGGCCGATTTTATAAAAGATGCGGGAATCAGCTACAACATAAAGAACAATAAAGCACAGTTAGTCAATCATGCAATTTTTCCTGTTAATTAAACTATTCATGCATGCATTTATTCCCGGCGAGTTTTAGAAGGTTCTCTTGCAGCGTGTGCTTACATGTGTAAAATGGGATGTTTCAGGATAGAATATTATCACATTTTTGGCGTTTCAAACACTTTTTATAACAGGACGAAATCCATACCTTTTTGACCTTTACAGATTGGGTAAATCTGCTAAAGGTATCTTTAAACGTATACAACTGTGTTTAAAGGCATTAAAGGTGTGTTCGAACTTTATCGACATTTAATACTTGTTTAAATACATCTTTAATCATGATATGCCTTTAGTTACCTTTACAAAAACAATTAAAGCTTGATAAAGCCACATCATACTTTACTCAAGTTTATATGTGATCTTTAAAGTTGATTAAAGAAATCCATACCTTTTTTGACCTTTACACATTAGGTTAAATCTGTTAAAGGTATGTTTAAACGTACAAAATTGTGTTTAAAGGCATTAAAGGTATGTTCGCACTTTATCGACATTTAATACTTGTTTAAATACATCTTTAATCATGATATACCTTTAGTTGCCTTTATAAAACAATTAAATCTTGATAAAGCCACATTATAATGTACTTTACTCAAGTTTCGAGTAAAATGTGTTAAAAGGTAAAATGTCGGCCATAAACGTCATTGTTACCATGTATAACAACGGTAACGACATCATTTTTGTAAACAATTTTCAACTCTTGGACGATTGCTCAATATATGTGGTACAATTTTTGTCTTCTGAAAGGAAACATCTCTTCAAATCTAAATCACGATTTTGTCATATTTCAAAAATTGTAGGGAGCCACCTTAATCAGGATTGTAAACCTGTGACGCGGTGTTTTGTTTCATAGCTTATTTTGACAATGTTTCAGAGAACGGAATTGAACCAAAATGTTAAACTCAGACTACGTTTACACCATACCAGATGAATATGGAACCACACTGTTCACAAACTACACCTGAATTCTTTTTTTGCAAACTTTCACAGTTAGCTATGCTTCATTTCGTACGATGAAGTACATGTACTGTACATGGACTTTTGATGAGGATTATTTATTCTGGTCAATTTGAATAGAAGATCTTAGCAGGGGTCGAAGTGGAAACCACTGGGACACACTGCAGAATAAACAACTTGCTTGCAGGGAAATTTTGTACAATTTTATTAAAAATGGAGGTTATAAATATATGTATTACTTATGAAAACATTTGATATGTAGTGCACATTGCCAGAAAATAACAGGTGATAGCATGCATTAACATGAGATTGTCAATACCATTGACATTGTCATTGTTACAATTGTAATCGGTCAGTTGCAAGTTTTATAACTTTAGGTTACCAAAATCTAAACGAAACATTGCAAAAATGCAAACATACAGTATAGCAAATATATAATGCAGCCAGGATCACAATCATAAAATATGAAGATATATACGTGTATGATTGACGGTCATGCATACTAGACCTAATATAAAGTACCTAACATTTAATACAACATACTCATACCAAATCAATATATAAACTCCTCATCTCAATTGGCTTAGGAAGACTGTATGAAAAACATACATGTGCATAAATTTTGCATCGTGTAGGTTGCAGGTTGTTCTCGTCATGCTTAGAAAATTTATTCAAACCATAGCAATATAGACTCTTCATTGTTTTATCATGAAGTATCAGAAAGCAAGAAGACTTGAAGATATAAACCTTTACAAAAATTTATATTCTTGTTGGCTGCAGTCCATTTGTTCTCATAATTAAAAAAATTCTCCGTTTCAACATAAATTTAGCAAACCTCACGCAGCTAAATTGAATTCAACTTTAACAGTCACTCACAGACAAGGTTTCTTTAAAGATCTGATAAAATGGTCGCTCCAAATTGACCTATAGCCAGCATAAAGATCTTGTTTGTATTAATAGTTCATTCAAAAGCTTATATATAGCAAGTGAGATTTCATAATACAATATATTCAAACCATACCAATATAGACTCTTCATTGCTTTATCATGAAGTATCAGAAAGCAAGAAGACTAGAAGATATACACCTTTTCAAAAATTCACATTCTTGTTGGCCGCAGTCCATCATTTGTTCTCATAATTAAATAATTTGTAAACATAAGTTTAGAAAAACTCACAATGGAGCTAAATTGAATTCAACTATGCAATAACAGTCACTCACTGATAAGGTTTCTTTGAAGATCTCATAAAATGGTCACTCCAAATTGACCTAGCCAGCATAAAGATCTTGTTTGTATAGTTCATTCAAAAGCTTAAAGACAGTGAGATTTTATGTACATATATTAATTGAATGAAACCAAAGCAATATACTGCTAATTCATCATGTTAATTTGAAATAATATTCCACTGCATGTCCTGTGTGTAAGACTGGCTTATTCTTACATGCAGCATAAAATTTACCTTCCTGTAGACTGCAGTCTTTTGTTCTCAACATTATGATGTCATGCATGATGAGTGACTCAGTGTCTTACCTTAAGATATCCTTAATATTGGATATTACTTTATTTATTTCTACCATGAATTTAAACCAGAAAAAATAGGGGGGAAATACATTAACTTAGTATTAATTTTTATTAATTGTATTTTTGCATAATAAGGCACAAATAAGCTAAGGCAGGACTGTCATGAATGTAAGGTGGCCAAAGTTTTGCCAAGGCATGTTCTCACAATTTTCCAAAATCAATCGGGCCCTCTAAGTTTATCAAGCTTAGTTAAAATGGGTAGTTCTACAGTAAATGTAAAATGGGTAATTGTAAAACTTAAAATGGGCAGTTCTAAAATCCAGTTTTTGAGCTTATTTAAGGCAAAAGTAAATATATTTAAGTAAATATATTTATATATATTTAAGGCAAAAGTAAATCCAGCTTTCACTCTGAAAATGCATAAAATGACCATTCTGGACTTTTAAAATTCAAAATTTTCCAAGGGATCATTGTTCCAAGGACCCTCCCAGCTATTGAGGTATCCAATACGCCATGGCAAAAATGTCTCATTGAAGGGGAGTTTCTGGTGCAGTGATTAATGCATGAACCTTGTCTGCCACATAGTTAGCCTGTGTTCACTACCTCTGTTCTTGTCGAAATGGGCAGTTCTAAAATTTTCTTAGGATGACCCCTGCATAAACATACTATGCAAGTACATAACTGAAGGTTCAGTCTATCTACAGCATAATGTAATGCTGTATATCCAAAAATCTGTTTCAGAAAATGCAGGGAATTGCAGTCATAGGGATAGAAAAATACAAATATTTTCTGGAGGAGAATACCTCCAGATGCCCCCCCCCCCTCCCTACTATTAAATGCGATACCACACCAAACTTTTTGTTACCAACAAACCATCTATCATTTCTCCACAATCGGTATAGTATGGTCCCTTTTTGTAGATGCCCCCCCCCCTCACCCCACTGACAAATTCTTTAAAAATGTCCTGCTTAGAAACACTAGTCACTAGACATGCAGTTATTGTTTACGTACGTCTGCTGATCTGTAGAATTCAGTATAGAACACTATACATTTATCGAGTATATCTGTAGTATTACATGTTAATTGTTTCAGTGTGGGTATTAAATTGGGAAATTCGAAATATATAATAGCTTCGGGTTTCAGGAACTTTACGAATTACTTCACGTATTTATAGGACACTGTCTTTAAAATATGCGGATGGTATTACGAGAAGTACAGTTTTGACTAGTTTTGAATGTATAAATTTATGCTATTTTACTCACATGTTGCTCGTACTGCGTAACATTTTCTCTTTGTCCCACAGTCGCCAGAAGTCAACAGCACGTTCCCCTCTTTGTGTACGTACACGAACGACTAGCTTCTATTTTCTTCCTATTTTCGTGCTCGATAATAAATCGCACCTGCATTTTTCTTTCCCTCTCAGATCTTTTTTCTCTTTCAAACATCCCTGTATATCTCTCTCGCTCTTTCTCGTTTAATTATTTTTCGTCTTTTAGGACGAATTCCTCGATCGTGTTCGGCCTGGAAAGCCGACCTAGCTTCGAAAGTATATGCTCGCTCTGTATCGCTGGCTGCACTGAGATTTCTCCCAGATCGTGACGTATCCCACTATTAGAGAGGTTAAGATACCCCGATTTCGGTTTACGGGTACGGGTGATATACACGTACCCGTACCCGTAAATCGGGGAATAACTTGTAACTTAAGAAATTCAAATACTCCGGCGTGAGAAAACCGATCAGAGAATGGCAACTTTCGCTGTTGAGGTTCTCCATAAATTGTTGAAAACTTTGACCAGCATATGTGCATTATTTATTTGGGTAAGATGTTTGAACATTTGTACTATTTAAACGGCCCAAAAATAGTAAACAGAAAACACCCGTACCCGTTCGTCGTTTACGTGTAGACCACGGTTTACCACGGGGAAACGGGTAGAAATTACGGGTAAAATTGCTGACATCAGCAGAAATTGGTAAACAAAATGGCGATACTCGTACCCTAGCCCGCGTGCAGGCCCAAGGGAGCAGGCTGAAGGGAACTTGATAGTGGGCCTGCAAGCAAGGCCCGGTATTTTGTACTTTCCGCGTTCGCCCACGAACGCGGCATTCTGATTGGCTGTTTGCTGTTGGATTCTATAATTAGGTCAGTGATTCATCACAAAGGCATGACAAAGGCTCTCGATAAGCTTAAAATTCGAAAATTGATCACTTTTTCCGATTACAAATGGAACAAGAACAGACTGTTTATTGTTTACTTGAAGGAAGAAATGTTTTTGCCGTTATGCCAATGAGGATTGCTTGTCGTGAGGTGTTGGAATAGCAACATTTATTACGAATGGGGTATAAAACTATATAGTAACCTTTACTTGAGTTTCATTAATTTCAAACAGACTTGATACGTTATATGTTCCTCAATCAAATTATCTTTTGGTTGATGTTGAGATGCAGTTGCATGTGATGTAAGCCTATCAAAATACTTTTGCGATTTACAAGGCTTCGCTGAGAGAGCAAAAGATAAGACGGTATTTATAAATTGCCGTTTGAAACGAAACGATCTGGACTCTGAACGCTCTCTTCTTTTGTAGAGTTCTCACCAAATGAAATAACTGAAATAAATTTCGTACTTTCCGCCGCCAACAAGAATTGCACACACGATCTGATAAGTGAGACAATTTATTTATAACAATGGCGACAGCGAAACAACATTATAAATGCTGATGTGGTCGCACGACTTCCCTCACGATTTGAAGTTTGAGACTGGTTTTCTGTTGAAATTCGTCTTAATTTGCCTGTTCCGATTTTAGTTGAAAATGAGCACTTGTAAATTTGGCAATTACTGACTGGTTGCTTGTTTTTTTTTGAGTTTTAACACAGGCATTTATACACATTGTTTCTATTTTGAATATTAAAGCAGAGAAAACCCCGCAACATTTTAATGCGAGTTTGTTTGTTAATATTTGGGTTG